CATTAGCAAAGCATCTTCCGGCAAATAGCTCTTCAGGTGTTAAATTCTCACTTTATATCAACAAATAATTTTATTAACAGAATGATACACAAAATAAAAAAAATTCTGAGAGAGGAGCTCCAACTCAGAACCTCAGGATTCCAAGTTCTAGACCCTGACCACTAGGCCGCCACTCCCCCCAGTTGCAGCTATGTACTACAGTATATTAAATGATTTATATCGTATATAGCCATGGCTACAAATAAAATAAAAAATACTTTGTCCAATTCATAAATTTCCTATGAATATTTTGAGAAATAATTTTGACTTTTCTTATTTTACTATTACATGTAAAATAGAACTAGAAATACGTCATTTAAGCTGATGATGAACGAAACAGCTTTGCTCATCATTAAAGATTGACTTAGAAGCTGGATAATTTTGCTGCAGAGATAAAACCTGTTAGAATATCTTTTCCTTTCAGTGTTTGTTCCATTCCTCCTCTGCCCATCTGAGACTCTGAACTGAAAGCTGCACATCTCAATCATACAGCACTACATACTTCTCAGAGTGTAAATGCATAAATCTGCACTGGCCACTAAACTAAGATTGGAAAGTACTTCAGCTAAGGGCAGGTTTCAAGAAAACATGTAACCTGATAGGTGGCTGCATCCAGGTTGGACAGGGCAACATAGAGCAGATTGTTCTGCAGCGTGTAGATCCCTGCAGGCACGGCCAGCTTCATGGTCTCCACAGGCTTGTTCACAATCTCCTCCTTCAGCAGCAGATTCATGGCCCGCAAACTGTAATCTGACAGAAACAATCAGATAGTTGTTGGCTCCAGGAGCGGAGGCCCTCTGGGCCAGACAGACCAGGGACAGAGGAGGGCTTGTGTGATGTTGCAGGGTCAGATCCACACCTGTGGATGACCCGTAGGAGAAAGAACCCGCTTACTGTTTTCCACGAAGACGAGCAGGAAGCAGGTCAAGATTTTCAGCATCTCAGCCGACACCACAGCAGAGGAGGCCAGGTAGCGCGGACCTTCCTCCTTCAGCGTACGGGAGTAACGCATGGTGAGCACCAATGTTGTGGTCTGTAGCACCAGGACCCCCAGGGATACGTACTTCAGCCGCGAGGGGTGGGATGGGGGCAGCGCCATTGTGGGGGGCTCTTTGTCTGAGTTCACAGACGGTACTAGAACCTTCAGGACAGAGAAATAAAACCAGAGTTAATTCTGCTCTAATTTCTATGGACTGTTGAATCAGTCCACTGCAAAAACAATCTAAAATTAAGTAAAAATTTCTTAAATTAAGTGTATTTACC